CTACAATAAAATGAAATAAAAAAATCAGCCAGGCGTGGTAGCGCATACCTGTAATTCTAGCTACTTGGAAGGCTGAGGCGGAAGGATCGCTGGAGCCCAGCAGGTTGAGGCTGTGGAGGCCGGGAGTGGCCATTGCACTCCAGTCTGGGCAACAGAGTGAGACTCCAACTCAAAAAAAAAATAAAAAAAAGAATTAAAACGAATACATTTGACAAGTCCTTGTTTAATAGGTTACTTAAAAATAACAATGGTCTCCATTATATGTTAACATAAATAACACTTTAATGGGGGGAAACTAATAATTTCCAAAACAAAAAATAAGAAGAGACTATTTTACATTTCTACAAATCTCTTTAACATCTGATTTTATTAGAATATAGCTAGATTCTCATATCTGCTTCTTTATTTAATATGTTGCAATATCATACATCATTTGGTCTCTGGAAAATACAGTACACTCATGACAGAACAAGAATAAAAACAGTGAATAACTTATGAAAATAATTTTTTGGCCAGGCGTGGTAGCTCACGTCTATAATCCCAGCACTTTGGGAGATGAGAGGATTGCCTGAGCTCAGGGGTTTGAGATCAGCCTGGACAACTTGGCAAGATCTGGTCTCTACAATAAAACAAAAAATTAGCCAAGTGTGGTGGCTATTTGGAGGTTCCAGCTACTTGGAAGGCTGAGGCAGAAGGATCACATGAGCCCAGCAGATAGAGGCTGTGGTGGCTATGAGTGTGCCACTACATTCTAGCCTGGGTAACAGAATGAGACTCCAACTCAAAAAACAAAAAAGAAAAAAAAAACTGGGCACGGTGGCTCACATCTGTAATCTCAGCACTTTGGGAGGTAGAGGCGAATGGATTGCCTGAGCCCAGCAGGAAGAGGCTGTGGTGGCCATGAGTGTGCCACTGCACTCCAGCCTGGGCAATGGTGAGACACTGACTGGAAAAAAAAAGGAAATAATTTTGACCCCATAGATCTTACAAACCTCTAAGAATTTCCTGATCTAGTCCAATCCTTTACTTTTCAGATGTTATTAAGGTATCAACCAGGATTTTAAAAAATGCAATATCTTGCTCAAAAAACGCAATATCTTGCTCAAAAAACAACAGCCTGTCTGTGGCAGAAACAAACCTAGAAGCTAAGTCTGAATCACAGCCTTGGCCTAGGCCCTGCTTACAAGTTTTCAGTCAAAGGTTATGGGCAATTGGAGGAGATGAGGTCTCTCCAAAGTCAAGAGCTACCTCTCCCCTCATCCTACGCACTGCTGTAGGTTGCTTCAACTGCTATGAAGAAAACATAAAGGTCAGATGTTCCACTGGGCATACCATTGTTCTTCTCTTTTCCAACTACATAACATCAGATAAGGTAATGCTAAAATAAGAGAAGTGCTGAGGAAAAAAAATGGCTAACCATATTTTATCAGAAAACAACTGAGATCAGCTTTAACAGTCAAGTTAATACTTACAGCCATCCTGTTTACAAATCCACTGTATGCAGTTGACTCGGGCAGTGTGGCCATTCAAGTTGGTAACAACAACCCTTTTCTTTAGAGAAGAAAATACCAGTTAGTAAATTAGGATTTATCCTCCAGAGGAATTAATAAATTTATTGTGCTTTCAACACTAATAAAAAGGTCAGAATTATATCAAACACATTCACCTTCTTCAATTCATATACTTTTAACTATGGCTTAAGCTACTCATTCACTCTGTCAGCCCTCCCTTTCTCAACATGCTCCACATTCCTAGCATCCTATCCTCTCATCACACTGAGTTCTTAGGTCACACTGCCCTGAGAGCTGCCTAGCTCTGCTCACCCTTCCTCAGTGCCCATGTCCTTCTCACCTGAGAAGTCTATTAACACACCAGGCTAGACAAATAGCTTCTTCCTTGTGTTCCCACAGGCCTCACGGCTACCTCTACCATGTTTGCACCAATTTGAGGGTTTCACTGACCCAAAAAACCCCTTCAGCAGAGGAATTTGCTATGAATGGCTACAAATTCTCAACTCACTTTGCATTCCACAGCCAATCAGGTGGTGGGTTCTTCAGCCTCAGTGGCATAATGTCAGGGGCCATAACTACTAAGGTCTTCACCAGGCTGCTTTCACCACTATCCTCCCCCTCCACTGTTGAGCTTCCTCTCTAACTACTGTGCTTTCCTCTTTACAAGTCCCTTTCTCTATTGCCAACAGCATTAGTTTAATATTTGCTTATATGCCACGTAGGATTCTCATGGAAGAGAAAAAGAAATAGGGACAAATGTTCATAAAGTAATATATTTCACACCTGGATTACTATATGCATACATTTCTGTGTACATATAACACAGTGTAATGTATTTCATTGTCTCTCCCACTAGACTGAAAATTCATTGACAGAAGTTATCCCTCATTGTCTTTGTGCCATCATCACCCAGCCCAGGGTAGCCCACAGAAGGTCCTCAAAAATGTACGTCAGGCACGGTGGCTCACACCTGTAATCCCAGCACTTGGAGACTGAGGTGAGAGAATGTCCTGAGCCCACGGGTTTGAGACCAGCCTGGGCAACCTGGCGAGACCTTACCTCTACAATAAATCAAAAAATTAGCCTGGCATGGTGGTACATGTCTGTAGTCCCAGCTACTTGGAAGGCTGAGGCGGAAGGATCACCGGAGCCCAGCAGGTGGAGGTTGCAGTGGTTGTGAGCATGCCACTGCACTCCAACCTGGGAGACAGAGTGAGACTTCAACTAAAAAAATTGAAAAAAATAAAATAAACCAATAAATTTTTTTAAAAAAATTAGTTGGGCATGGTGGCAGATGCCTGTAGTTCCAGCTACTTGGAAGGCTGAGGCAGAAGGATTGCCTGATCCCAGCAGGTCAAGGTTGTGGTAGTTGTGAGTGTGCCACTGCTCTCCAGCCTGGGCAGCAGAGTCAGACTCCTACTCAAAAAAAAAAAGGTCCTCAAAAATTTGCTGAATGAGCATCATTCTCAAAACTTTATTTTAGCATTTGCCGTGCTCTTTTCTCCTGTATTTAAATGCCCAACCAGGACATATTTAATAAAACAAAGTACTTTTTATACGCAATACATCTTTGTTATGCTAAATTTACTAATTTTGCCAGTCATATAAAATGGGATGGAAAGTCCAAGAACAAATCTGCTGCAAAGATGGGCTTCCAAAGCTGAGTCAGTTCTTGGCCGATGGCCAAGTTTACCCCTGGTTTTATGTGCTTTCTCTTGCCATCCAAGAATGCCTGGCAATTAACAAGAAATAAAAACCAGGAAGAGACAAGCAAGCTCAAGATGGAGGAAAGTGAATAAAAATATTTCATACATAAATTTGAATCTGCAAAGGGTATATGGATAATACAATTTTTAGTAAAGTTGAGAAAGCTGTATAAGAAACACATTTAGCCATCTGCTGCACTGCACTGCATTTTAAGTTTCAGCATTTCACCTTTTTCTTTTTCCTTTTTTTTTTTTTTGAGTAGTCTCACTCTGTTGTCCAAGCTCAGGTGATCCTTTCACCTCAGCCTTCCAAGTAGCTGGAACCACAGGCACGTTCCACCACACCCGGCTAATTTTTTTTTTATTTATTGTAGAGACGAGGTCTCGCCAAGTTGCTCAGGCTTGATTCGAACCTCTGGACTCAGACGATTCTCTCGCCTCCCAAAAGCATTTCACTTATTACAGTGAAGGCTCCTTTTGAGATGCAACACTAGCTGTATCGTCCCAAATTAGTGAGAATGGGATCATAATGAGCTCCGGGTAGCACGCAAAAACTATTCACTGAGAAGTCTGGAGGGCAAAGGGCCAATAAAATAATCAACTAATCGGTTGAAGTATAAAGAAGTCCTTCCTTATAATCTGCGTTTAGGATCCCCAACCCTTTTGACCTTTTCCCTAAACTGGCATTTTCTTTAAAATACCCACTCCCGTAGCTAAAAGGCAGGTAACGTTTGTTTGAAATTCAATACAAGAATTCATTTACCTACATTGAGGGAAATAATGAATTGAGACAGCATCTGCGGGATGATGACGTCCTTAACCTACACCTAAATTTCCATTATTTTAAAACTCAGACTGATTCTTGGACAGTACTACATTTCCCAAGGAAGGCTTCAGGTAAGATTCGCATTCGGATGGCTAACAGGCCACTGGCATGACAGGCCGCGATCCAGGGCTGACGCCGCGCCCACGGGGGCTGCCCCGGCAAACCCTCCTCCTAGGTCTAAGGGCGGCAACTACAGCCCGCCCGAGCAAGCCCAGCGGCTCGGGCCCTGCACAGGAGGTCGGGCGTCCAGCTACCCCCTCTTACCAGAGGGTCATAGAGCACCACGGAGCAGGACGTGCCGAAGGCCAAAAGTCCCCCGGGCCCAGAGCTCCAGCTCAGGGCTCCCCGCACCCGGTTTGGACAGCAAAACACGTGAGAAGTCTCCAGCGCCGGTGCCACCATGATGCAGGCTGGTCAGCGGCCCGGAGACGCGCACTTCCGCCCTCGGAGCGGAATTCCTAGTGTGGGGCTTCTCCCCCTGGAGACATCCGGTCCGCGTTTCAAAGGCAGCCGGGGGAGAGGCCGCC